GTTTTATGGTTTGATGTCTTATATTTAGGTCTTTGATCCATTTCAAGTTTACATTTGTGGATGGAGTTAGACAGAATCCAGTTTCATTCTCTTGCATGTAGCTGTCCAGTTTTTCCAACACCAGTTATTGAAGAGGCTGTCTTTTCCCCATTGTATATTCATGGCTCCTTTATCATACATTAATAGACCATACGTGTGTGGGTTTATATATCTGGGTTCTCTATTCTGTTCCATTGATTTATGTATCTCTTCTTGTGTCAGTATCATACTGTTTTGATTACTGTAACTTTGTAGTATAGCTTGAAGTCAGGGAACATAAAACCCCCAGCTTTGTTCATTCTCAACATTGTGTTGGATCTTTGGGAGTCTTTTGTGGGTTGTGCTTTTTTTCTATCTTGTTTAAGAAATTCTTCCTATCTCAGGTCATAAAGACAAAAATACCTTTTATATTTAAGTCATCAATCTTTCTGCAATTGAATGGTGTTGAATAGAAATCTATTTTTATTTTTTCCATGTGTAAAATCAATGATCCCAGTACAATTTATGTAATAGTTGATCTTTTCTTAATACTAATCTCCAATTCCAGCTTTGCCATATATCAAGTTTGAGTGGGTCATATTTAAGTGGATCTATTCTGTGCTTTTCATTTTCTTCCATTTTTTTTCTTTGTTACCTGTGTGTCAATACCATTTTACCTTAATCACTGTGGCCTCTTAGGTAGTCTGGACATATGGTATGGCAAAATTTCCCACTGAGTTCTTATTTTTCAGAATTGCTTTGGCTATTTTTGGCCCTTTGAGCTGCCATATATATATATATTAAAAACCAGCTCGTCAATTTCTACAAAAAACTGCCTGATATCTAGCTTGGTCAGTCTTTGTCTCTTAACTGGATAGTTTAGTCCCTTCACTTTGTGATTATTGGTAAATTATTTGTACTATTTCTACTACCTTATTCTGGATTTCTTATTTTTCACATTTCTGTGTTTCTCCTTTTCTCCTTGCCACTCTCTTTACCCCATTTCATAATTTTTATCTTCTAGTTTGGAAGGTATACTCACTTTTTAAAATCCTTTTAAGTGTTTAATCTAGACATTTCAGCAGGAATATTTAACTTAAACTCTGAAGTTAATAACTATCTTTGACCTCATCTTGGAAAATATGAGAACATTTAGATACTCTGATCAATCCTATCCTGACATAAATGCATTTTTTTTTCAGGATTTTTGTTTTGTCCTGATATTTCACCCACATTGCCATTATCATTGCTTTGAAGATAATGCTTGTTTCGATTTACGTACTTAAATGTCCTATTTTCTTTACCTATCATTATGTGGTGCAGCTAGGATTTTCTGAGAGCCATCTCTTTGAAGTGTATTTTTTAGAAATTCCTTACATGAGATTTTTTTTGGTTGTAAATACTTCTAATATTTGTGTGAAAGATAATTTCACTGGATCTAAATCACTAGCTTGATGGCTATTTTCTTTCTGCCTTTTGAAGATATTATTCCTTTTCTGGCTTTTCATTTGTGCAGTTGAAAAGTCTATCAGTCTAATCACTGTTCTTTTGTAGATAATCTTTTTCTTTGTACTTCTCTATGACAAGCCTAGGTGTCATCTTATTTATCTTGCTTTCAATTCATCTTATTTCTCTTGTGTCACATTCATTGGGCTTTTTGAATCAGAGGAATATTGTCTTTCATCAAATCCTGAAAATTCTTAACTCTGAATATTGCTTTTCTCCTTTTATACAGTTTGATGCTCCTCCCTCCATCCTCATGTCTCTTGATCATTCCTTTATATCACTCATTTCTTTCTATCACAGTGTTATATTACGACTGATTCTTTTGCATGTATATCCCAGCTCACTACTTCCGTGTTTAACTGTATGTAGCTTAAGTCTGTGAAACTGTATTTAATTTTTTTTGTTCAAACTGTTCAGTTTCTAGCTTTAACTGTTCTGTTATTTCTACAAGTACTTTTAACAGTCTGCCTGTCAATTCTGATAGTCTGCTGTTCTTCTGTTACATTTTCAATTCCCTAGATTTCTTGGACTTACTAAACATGTTTATTTTATATTCTGAGTCTGATAATTCTAGTATCTGCAAGCCTCTGTGGCCCAGTTCTGCAGTTTCTTGTTTCTCTAACTCTTACCTTCCTTGCGGGGACTTAGTTCTTCATGGATGGTCTTTTATCTGCTCCTGTTGCTGGGAATTTTGTTTTTGTTTTGAGGCTGAGTTTGAAGGGCTTTCTCCCAGAAGGATTTGTGTTTGCTTCTATAAGGATTTAGGAGCATTACCGACAGGGAACACTTTACCCCATTTTGCGGTTGAAGTTGCTTGGGTCATCCAGGTATATAAATTCCAGTCCCAGAAGTGAATAGATACAGCTTAATGACTAGGAATTCTCGGGGCAGACTTTGATTTTTTTCTCTTCCATTCAGAGTCAAGGCTGAGACAGGCAGGATTCCTTCTGCAAAGCAGGTATTCCTAGTTTGCCCACCAAAGACGTTACCCTCCCAGAGTCCCCGTCTGTACTGAGCCTCCACTCCAGCAGCCCCTGGCCCTGGGACCCAGCTCTAGGCTTCCAGAATGACTGGACTGCCTCGGAGCACACACTGTTTCAAGCCCTCATCCTGTGGAATCTTGCTTTCCTGTTCCCTGTTTCAGGGTTGCCCTCAGACCTTATTTCTGCTTCAGCTGTGATTTCTAAAATGTTTGTAAATATATTTATCACTCAGAAGCATTCTCTCCCGGGAGACATTTTCTGCATATCTGTTGTGCTAGAGAAAATGGAAATCCCCATTATCATTTTTAATAAAAATCAACTGATAAAAAAGCAAGTGAAATGTGGAACATGAGGCTATTTTGTTTATTGTTTTTGGATATGTCTATATCTTCAAGTAGATATCACCCTGTTCCTAAGTTACTATATTAATGACTTATAAGCAGCAATCACTTCCTATACTATCCACCCTCCAAAGACAGTTATGGTTACAATATTCACTTAAGAAAAGCCTGTTTAACATGCACACGGCTTCTGTTCATGTGAGGTTGAGGGGGGTATGGTGCTCTGCAGCCAGAGGATGGTGCATGTGTACCTAATGGGTGTGCTTTGGGGTGATGGCCTACATGCTACACATACTTAAATCCTGGAAACAATTTTCGCTTAATTTCAATCAGTGATGCTTACAGCATTAAGTATATAATACTGAACAGTTCACTTGGTATAGTAGGAAGTGCATGGGTTTTGAAGTCAGAGGTCTAGGTTCGAGTTCAAATCCTAGCAAAGTTACTGAGAATACGTAGTGGAAACATGTTTATGTAAGACACTGTGAAAATATAGAGTGTCTTCCAAATGTTAATTTTTCAACATCCAATATAGAGCCTGGGACACAGAAAGCACGCAGTAATTGTCCACTGAAAGAATGAATTAAGGACATTACCTTCTCTGGTACCATCAGATTTCCCTACAGAGAGTAAGCTTCAAGGTAGTAAAAGGTTTTTTTAAATCATTACTTTAATCACCAATGATCTTGATGTAGTTACTGTCTTAAGTGCTATGAAACATGGTAAGAGGACAATATATTGACATTTTGAAACCATTCTACCACCAACCCTGATTGGCCCTGAATACTTACTGCTGTTGCCTGTGGGTTGCTGGGATAGGCACTCAGGAGCTCCTGGGGGGGGTTTAAAGGCTTGAGATAACGGGTGATAAAGACGGTTTTCCCACTTATGTCAATCACTGTTGTAACACACTGACGATTTGGAAACTTTAAGGCACATTCAGCTTGAAACTTCTGTGTTTCTTGAAGCAATTTCTCATCTTCCTGAGAATCAAACTTCAAAAAGAAAGACACTGTGGAGTTTCCATATGATTACAGGAATCACAGTTGAACTTTCAGATCCCATAGTCCACCTGAACTAAGCGGGTGTTTCAGGAAGTATGATCACTGACCCCTTACTAAATTGTCATGTCCTGGTATCCCTGAAGCTTTACTTATATTTATTATCTAAAAATTAGATGGATTCATTAAATACTTAAGATATGTCAACAGGTGAGCAGCCATGTTGAGACTATTGGATTAAAAAAACAACCTATAATAATTAGACTGTGATGTACTAATTCTGGATAGTGAGATCAACTAACAGTTTTATGTGTACTTTGATGTTGGCTTTAGAGGGAGAGCAGCTCAGAAGTCTAACATCTCAAATGTAAAGCTTAAACAACTCAAATTAAAAACAAATTTACAGATATATATGGATGTGTTTAAAAGTTTAAACTCATAATCAGTGTACTAATCAACAGTAATGATTTCAGGGAAAAAGGAAGCAGATCTAGAAAGGTCAAGTGTAAAATAGTTATTTTGCATGATTCTCTGATCCAAGATGAGATATTTACTAATTCCTAGACTTTTAAAGTGACTCAAAACAGATAAAACAGGACAAATTTCAGTTGCTTTTAGATAGATGTTGTCATTTTTCCCCTTCAAGCTATTACTAAAAACTTACACAAGAAAAGCAGGTAATCTAAATGTCTGGATAAGATTTTTGTTGCTTAGTATAAAAATATATGTATGGTTGCTTACATTTCAAAGGATTTCAAGACAAAATTTTATGAGGAAAATTAATTTTTAAGTATCATTTAGATTCTAGGCAGTGCTTGAAAGTTTTGTTCTGTTTTGTTTTGTGTTTTGTTCTGGTTTTGAGGCAGTAAATGCATCCGGCTACCCACTCTTGCTCTGCTTTATTTTTTTAGCATTTAAAACTGCTGATGTGACATATTTGTTGACTTTGTCTCCCCCATAGAGTGAGATTCCTGAAGTCAGGGATTTTGTTTTGATCTTGTTTTTTATCTCCAGTATGGAAAATATTACCTGGCACTTGGTAAGTGCTTAACAGATATTGTTGAGTGAGTGAATGAGTGCACAGAAAACATTCCGTTACTTTTTTATGACTTCAAATAGAATCGAAAATATCCTAGTTGTTCTTGACTTCTCTTATTTTAGAGCTGGCCTTTGTTGGTTCCTTTCTAATTTGGTTGCTGTACTGTGAGAAATTGGGCTAGAAGCTGCGGGGCTTAGGTAGAATGCCGGCATCTCCAAAAACCTCATGTATATCCTTATGGGATGTCCCCGACATCCCAGTTTTGGCAGCATCATCATCATTTGTTATAACCACCTACCACTCAACATAGTGCCAAGACATGCAGCTACCCAACAGGTGTTTTGATGAAGACATGAATAAATGAAAAAGGTGAGCTTATAAAGACTTTGGTATGGGTGTGTCACAGACTCTTAGGGTAGATGTATCAAGCCAGAAATAGTTGTGATTTTAGGAAGATGGAGAATGATGAAACAAGCGTGGTGTGAAAAAAAGCACCCAGTTGAATCCATCCCTGTTTCTTTTAAACTCATTCATCCAACTAGTTGGAACATGTTTGCTGTGACCTAGCAAAAGGTTCCAGGCACTCTGGATAAATGAGTATGAAACAGTCCCCTCAAGGAACTTCTAGTCTAGAGGAGAGCATTAATAAGCAATCAGGTGCTTGAAATACTTGACCAGTGATTCTCTGGGGGCAGACACAGGGTGCTGTGGGAGTATTTAAGGGAGGCAGCTATAGGCATTTTCCAGAGTGAACAATGACAGTCTTGACTTAGTACCGACTATTAGCCTTCCAAGTTGAAAAAAGTGCACCTGAAACTTGCTACCACTTCGACTTGGATGTTCTGTTGTGTATTGGCTATGTAACTAGTATTCTTGAGAGCAGAGCCATGTTTGAATCATTCTGTGCTCCTCTCTGCACCGAGCATGCACAAGGTAAGCATGTAATAGGGGTCTATTAATGGTCATTAATTTGTTTAGGCTACTAGGATGCCATCACACGTACATCAGGGCCCATAAAGTGGCAGGGGACAAAAGCAGCTAATTAAAGCCTAATAGCTATTGGCTGATGAATGAGAAAACATTATACCTTTTAAAGCATGTCACTCATCTATCAGATGCAAGAAAGAAAAAAAATGAGAGGAAGACTTTGTTAATATAAATAGTCTTTTTTTTAAAAAAACTTGTTTTTACCAAGACATATAAAGTGGGGTATGAGTTTCAGGAATTGCTACTGATTTTTAAGAAAATCCTAGGAGTAAGTTCCTTTAAAAAATCACATGGAATCACCCCAATCATATGGGATGATGGTAGAGGAGAGACTCTTAATCTACTAACTCAGTAAGTTGCTGTAAGTGGAAAACAGTGTCAAGTTGTGGTCTTCTCTCTTATTTCAGGGAGGGAACTTTTTCCTGAGTAATCTGCAGGGGTATCATTGAGTGGTATTTTCTGCTACTGTACTTAGAACGTCAGGTTCCTGTTAGGCCAAGTGGCTTCCTACCGAGTGGCAATGAATTTGCCTGCCAGAGGGTTTTCTTAGGCCCTCATTTTAGAAGTCTAAGAGAAATGCTTCACACAGCCACAACGGGGCAGTGAAACGCCACCAAAGGCAGCAGCAGACAGCCTCCTTTCCTGGCTTTGGGCAAGGAAGGCTGCTGGGCTTGGGGGGTGGCTTCAGAGCCCTGGAAGCCTCTTAAAAGTCCAGTGGGAGGTCAGTGCCAGGGAAGTACACCGAGTGCTAAGGAGTCTCTGGTTTTCGTCTTCCAGGCAGCCACAGAGGGCTTTCACATGTTTTGGAAGCTCACCTCCAGATGGAGTATTTTTCCTTCTGTTAAGAATACACAGAAATAGAAAAATCTTCTTTTGTCTGTGAGCATTTTTCTGCATAAACCTGCTTGCTGGCTTTCTCTTGAGTTTATACATGAAGAAAAAATTCAGAATAGATTTCCCTTTCTAGAAATATTTTGAAATGCAAATATATTCTAACCTGTTTTCTAGAGAAGATACTTGTCACAGCTTTAGTGACAATGGCTAGCAGATAAGATTAGTTTGAAGTTTAGTAGATTTATTTTTCCAATTATTCTTTGCTAAGCAGAAATAGTGATAGTATTTTTCTCTGTAATACTGTAACACTGATTGTGCTCATTTTTTCATCCCCCATTTGAGAATTAATTTCAACAGATAAAGTAGAGTCAACATAATAATCTAGTCTAGCTTAGTAGGTAACAACTGGGTTTATACATGAATATACACTCTGTAGAATTTTTATGTTTTTCTAGGCTGCTGTATCACCAATGCCTAAAAAGTGCCTATTGTGTAGAAGGTGCCAAGTAAATATATATTGTTGTATGTAAAGATTTTGAGGTAGATAGACATTTAATTGTTTGATCTGCCATACTGCCTGGGTGAACTTGGTGAGTTAAGCATCATTTTCTGTCTGGAATGGAGACCTGTCATACAGGACAGCTGTGAGCATTAAAGGGGAGAACACATGTCAAATGTCTGACCTTGTGCTGAGGGTAAAAAGAGATCATGATCAATACTTTCTCCCTAAACCAGTGAGGGCAGGATGCATCAGTGCTACAGGAGCATGGTTACGCTAAGAAAGTACCCCCCAACTAGGAAGGCTGGGAAACAGTCACTAACAAATGTAAGTTCTGGAAACTCTTTTTATAAAGCTGTTAAAAAATAGAGTGCTTGTGCCTATATTTATCTGTTCACTCCGAAGGCACTGAAATGGAATGAGGTGACCCCTAAAGGTCACATAGCCTCACAGTCCTTTGAGGCAATTCAACATGCAGCGCAAACAAGGATGTGAGGTCAGACGTGGGATGTATTTCAGCATGCTTGCCAATAAATGTCAAGCTGAAAGAGCAATCTGTTTTCTAGTTTGTCATATTTCATTTTCTCCCATTGAGAAAATTCTTCTAAAAGTGGAGCTTATTTATATTTGTCTTATTTTGCCTAAAAGTTTCATTTGCTGAGTGACTTAATTATTGGCTCAATGGAGGGTCAAAACCACAATTTTCACCTGCATTCTGTCCAAAGTGAAAGAGGAAGAAATGGATTCTGAAGTAAGGAGGCACCGCTTGTGCCTTGCATGCAAGTTTATAAAACTAGCCTAGCAAGTGTTTCTGATGCTCTGTCAACTTCAGACACGCGATTCCAAGGTGTAAGCAGAGTTACCTTTTGTCGCACTGACTCCCCGGGAGCCAGCTGAGGCTCCATGGTGATGAACAGGGTCAGGTAGGAGCCATCACTCAGGCCTCGGACAGAGTCAGGTCCCCTCTCAGTGGTCACACTTCGCTCCTTACTGTAGCCCAGAAGAACTGGGGGAATATCTATTTTAAATGTTCCCTCAATCTGTGAAGAAAATACAACTTGTAAGCAACCTGGTGGTTTTCCAATAGAAGTTCAAAGACAGGTGCCAGCTCCCCATGGTCTGATGATTTCAACAAAAACTGCTCGGACTGGCATTCACGGTGTACCCCATCTCTCAAGGCTTGTCTCTCAAGCTCTCACAGAAAGGGCACTCTATTTCCCTGCCCTGTCTTGGTTCAGCAGAGCGAGTCCAAGTGTTCAGGTTGACAGGGACACTAGGTTGCCTGGCTTCACATCCTGGATTAAACTTCAAGCACCTCAGCTTATGCATCTGTGAAAAGGAGGCCATCATAGTGCCCGCTTGGTAGCTTATGTAGCTGTATGTACTGAATGAGTGAATAGATGTAAAACACTAAGGACAATGCTTGGCATGTGGTAAGTGCTCAGTGAGTGTTCATGTGCAGCCATTCCCCTTTGGAATGCCCCAGTATCTCATCCCCACCTTTCAGAATTTAAATAATTTTTCAAGACTCAGGTTAGATGTTGTCTCCTTCATGAATTATTTTGTTATCTCCATCAGCCTCACATGTAGTTTCTCTCACCTGTCACATTGACACATTCTGCCAGCCCTTATAGTTGCATGCATAGTTATCATTTTCCTCTCACAATTGCTGTCTGTGAACAGAATCTGTATTTCATTCCCTAGGTACCACCCAATATATAACAGTGTTTTGTAATCACAGCGGGTGCTCAAAAGAATGTGGGCTGAAAGGATTACAAGCCACATATGTAAAATAACCTTATATAAAGGCTCAAAAAGGCAGAACTTTTTACTCTGCACTTTTTGTAGTCAAAGCAACAATGTTTGTTAAGGGCTGTCAAGTGCGACAGAAACTATTCAGGGCTGGAATTTGAAATTCACAGACTTGCAAAGAACCCAATTTTTTTTGAGTCTTTAGTGGCATTTATGCTCAGGAGAAATAGAGAAAGAACTTAAACTTCCAGTGAACATGCCTTCTAGGGAGGAATTAAGTAAGCTGTTGTTTATTTTCCAGCTCACATTGGTAGAGTGTCCCAAAGTCTGTAGTCAGGCAGATGAGAGGGTGAGGGAGAAGAAGGGTGCAAAAACACTGCCATATAAAGTACAGCTAAGAACTGAGCACATCTGGTCTGTAAAAATGACCCAGGAGGGAATAGACACCGTCTCCAAATACCTGAGGTGTGACAATGTAAGACAGGGTTTCTCCACCTGGGAACTCTTGATGTTTGGGGCCAGACAGCTTTCGTTGTGGGCGCTGTCCTGTGTATTGTAGGATGTCTGCAGCCTGCCTGGCCTCCACACAATGCCAGTTGCACCCCCACTAGTGGTAGTGGAGACAACAAAAATGTCTCCAGACATTGCCAGTGTCCCCTGTGGGTTGTTCAACGGCATGAGCTTTGGTCAGGCAAAGCTTTTAAAATGACAAATGTAATGAACTCTCAAAAGTAATACTGAAAGGTATAAACCTACAAGTTGAAGAGTTCTATCTCCTTTTACCAGTCTCATTCCTCAGGGATAAGCAATGTAAGCATGTGGAAGTTGGTAATGCTGTGTCCCACTCTGCTGTAAACTTGGGGATCTGAGTGGTTCTTCACCTCTCTAGGCTTCTATTTGTTCATCTGTAAAAAGGATGATAAAGCCTTCTGGATTGTGAGATTTAACCGACATGACATATAAAGTAGCTAGTAATGGTGTATAATACAATAAATATAGTTATCCTGTTATTATTACTGATTCAGGATTCCATTTGTTATGTGAGCTCCAAACAGGACCTATGAACAGGGGATACAGGGAAGCACATAGATTACAGCCCAGTTCAAAGAAGAAACTTAGAGCTATTGGCAAAAGAGGAGGTAGTGAGGTATGAGGTAATGAGGTCCCTGTTTCTAGAGGCATCCAAGTAGAGTATATTACCAAGATACAGAAATGGAGATATATTTATCAAGAAGGGGTTTGGAGTAGCTACTTCTGAGTACCCTTTCAAATGTGAAATTAAGCAATGACAAATAACATGAGCTGCTTCAAATGCAAAGCAATATAGGCTCTTTAAAATTTTTCTCATTTAAGATCTGTTCCAGGAGGGAAATGTAAATTCTTTGGTAAGGACACCGTTGTAGACTGTCCCTTTTACCAAGGGAAGATTCCAGTTGATCCGTGAGATCCCAACTGACCCAGCCTCTCAGGAGGTTCAGTCTTGGTCTTGCTTGAGGCTCTGCAGCCCTGGCAGCATGTGCTCCACGTGGCCGTCATGTGTGGACTTGAACTGTTTTGTCTGTTGCAGTGTGAGATCAGCTACAGTCTTGTGGCTCAAGGCCTCCTGTTGCCATGGATTTAATGCTGGGATATTAAAGCCACATCAGACTCTTTCGCTGTTCCAGATTAGGGCGGCTAAGCCACTGGAGAGTTGTTAACCTAATGGATCCCCTGAAGCAGAATTGCTAAAGAAGGGTGCTGGGCAAGTCCCTGCTAACCATTTCTCCTGTTGGAAACAGTGAGGACTCCAGAAGCAAACCTCCAGCACACTGGAGTACAGTTGTGTGTGTATTTGTCATTTTTTACTGACTAAAGCGGCCATCAACTGTCCTGATTGTTGTCTTCCAGTCACTCCCGGGCTCCACTTCTGTCATTTTGACAATTTTCCACATTGTCCCACCTTCTTCTTTGCTTCTATTTAAATGTTAGAAAAATTCTCAGATTGGATCAGCCACACTTGACCCGCTTACTCTGCAGGAGCTGGGTGTTTGAGCAGTCATGAAGATGTGACAGGTCAGTGGCTTTGCATGGTATTTTTTTTTTTTTATCTTTCCAATAGCAGCCTGCACACAAGTGCTTGCAGTGTTGACAGTATATACCCATAAAGAAGGCTTTAACAGGTGAAATGGGGAGGGCAGTTCCCTATGGAATTCTGACTTCAGATGCTTACCTTTGCTTGGAAATATATTGTGCTGAATGGAATTTTCACGCATCCCAACCAGTGTCTCTCAATAAGGGTGTGGATTCCACTTCCTCTTTCCCGGTCATCCTAAAGGAGGTATGGGAAGTAATAATTGTCTAATAACTCCAGACATTTATTTCATTAATTCGGTCACAGGAAAGCATTTCAGCTGAGAGCACGTGGGCTAGACTATCAGACTAGGTTCAGGCAGGTAGTAGTTTTGTGACCCTAAGAAAGTCATTTAACCTCTCTGGATCTCAGCTTCTTCTTTGATAAGCTATAGACCTAACAGTCTGAAACAGGTAGGGATGGAACAAGTGGGACCCCATCTTGGGATGTGTACCTAACTTGAAAGCATATCCTTGGATGAGCACCTGCTCAAGCACAAGTTTTAGGTTAACCTCACCTGTGATGATTTACTATTAACATTCTTTTTTTCTGAAAGACCTCTGTTCTAGGGCATCAAAGAAACCTTTTGACTAACAGACTGAGATTATAAACTGACATCTGTTAAATGTCAAAGTAGTGCCTCATCCGGAGACATATAGGCATGAAATCATCAAGAAAGAGCAATCATTGTCAAACCTCTGAAGCCCTAGACCTTCAAAGGCTGCCTTTACAGACCCCACACTAGCCACTTTCCAAGAGCCCCTGACTTTCTCTTTCTTGTCCACTCCCTGTGTACAAGCTGTCTCTAATAATCTCCACCTGCTTTCTTTCTTTCCAGTTCAGTGTTCATTTCTATAACAATGAAACTCAAGAACCTGGCCTTTGGGGTCCAATAACAAATCTCCTTCATAGGGTTATTCTAGAATGCAGACGATTGGGGTAGAGAACTGTGAACTTACCTCTAAGACATCATGTAGTACTTCATCAAAAATGTTGATGAACACATCATCTTTTATCGATTGCAAACTGGTTGTGCTGTAATCCCCATTAGGGGCCCTGCAAATGGGCACATGGAACCAGAAGCATGAAAACAGGCAAAACAGAAATAATGAGTATTCTAATATCAAAATTTGAAAAATACCCAAATACAAGCATAGTTATGAGAACAAAAGTAGGGCTTTCATTTCAAGGATTTATGCTTCTACAGGGATCCTATAGCATAATACCCCTCACTCCAATGGGAAGGGACTCATCTGGAGGCTGCATACAGAGAAACCTGCTGGCTGGTCCTTGGGGGCCTCCATCCCCCCTATGGTGATCGGTGATCTTTGCATGGCGCCAGCGGCTGGGGCTGAGCTGGCTCAGCAGATGGGCCACATACAAGGTCTCCAGCTGCACACTGGCGCTGCTATGTGGACTCCCTAAGGAACTGGGCTCTGGAAGGTTCTTCTCTAGCAGACCATTCCGTCTTAACCACATCTTATTATACGGCTGGTTGAATGGTCCCTGCCTCCCTCTTGCTTCCCCATACGTAAGTAAAGCAATGCAGAGGGGGTTTACCTCCTGTAATATCACCTGGGATTTCAGTCCAGCCGGGCCAGGCCCCAGGCCGCTCCATGGCCCAGCTCAAGGCTGGGCTATTGCATGCATTTTGTTGAGCATTTGCCTTTACATTCCTTACTCTTTTTGCTTGTACTATGTATAATAGAGGTAGCTGTCCCTCTCTTCTGACATAACTAGTTCTAATCCTTGCCCTGTCTCTAATTTACTGTGTGGCCTTAAGCAAGTCACTGTCCATCTTTGGGTTTCAGTTTCTTTCCTATAAAGTAGAGTTCTGCATTGGATGATTTCTAAGGTTATTCAAGACCTGAAATAGTGAGTCCTTTAATATCTAAAATCATACAATCAAAAATTTTAAATGTCTATGTATTTCTGGTGAGGGAGAAGACATTATGTATGAGAACTAGGGAGTTTCAAATTGACTTAAAGCTTGCCGAGCTGGGGAGACAAGGAAGAAGGGAAATGCAATGTAGGGCAGGGGGCCCGAGGAATGGCAGGCTTAGACTGTAAGCAGCTGGAGCTCAGAGAGGAGGGAGGTGTGCCAGCAATGAGCCTGAGTGTCAAAAGCTGGCCTTTTTCCCATTTTATTCTTGATTGGGGTAAGCTGTGGTTCAAGAGGAAAACCACGGGACCTGGGGTCAGGACGCCTGGTTCTTGCTCTGGCTCACTAGCTATAAACCCTCTCCCCTTAGCCGTTCACCCCTCACCCCAAGCCTCTGTTTGCTTCACATTTCTTCAAAATATCCTATAGTTCTTTACAGAGGAAAATATGCTCACCTAAACGGAAGTTCAAGTTCTTCATGCCAACTGGGGTTTGGCCCTTCAGCCGTCGTCGTGTGGCAAATAGTTCGTTGAAAGGAAACTTCTACAAAAGGGCGTACTAGAACCTTAAAATCAAGAGCAAATCATAAGGGTCCATAACAGTTGAATGGTTTTGCTCTTAGCAGGAGTAGAATATGTTTACTAAAGAGTGTGTTGCCAAATAAAACAAAGCAGAAAACAGAGTATGAAGTTTCTAGGCAATTCTTAAAAACATAAGGAGTGAGATTCTAAGCTGGGATTCCGCATGTGGGTATCACCTGGCCAAGGGGGTAGTCAGCGCTGTGGGTCGGGCTGTGTGTCACTGGGGAGGCAGCATGCCTTTCGCTGAAAGTCCTTGATGATCTTGATGGTTGCTGGAATTTGCTAGGATGGAAAATGTATGAAAAAAAATAAATGATGGAGAAAGTCAAATGATACACTGAGCAAGATGCTTTCTCCAAAGATGGATGGCCCTGATGGGTTTGGCGACAGATACTCTCAGCGTGTGGACACTTTGGAAAACTTTGAGTATGCACCTGTCCTCCTCAGTCCCCAGTGATTGCTACACCCTCTCCAGCTTCTCCCCCTTGGCCTGCATGTCTGGCTCTCTCCTTCTCTCCTCGGAGTGCCTGAGTGGTGGCCTGCCTTCCTCCATAAATGAGAGCCTCAATCCCTCTCAGGTGGCAGGATCCTGAGCTCTCCGACCAGCTTGCCCTGACTCCATCCACTCGCTCTCCCACTGCATTTTCTTTTGAGCCTGTACTCTCCAGGAAGCTCGAGCTTCATAACCCAAGTAAGCGATTTCTCCCTGGGCTTGCCAAGCCTCACTGGGAAAAGACCAGGCACTGGTCAGGGATTCCCAGCTTGATTTAGGATCAATAGGTTTTGCCCTCTTTCCCTATTGAGCTGCTATTCTTAAAGGAAGAAAATAAGATCATATCTAGAGAATCTCTTCCATACACCTTCCCCCTCATCCCAGCAATGCCCTGAATATTTGTACTGAACTTTATGGTTACCAAGTATCTCACATTGATCACTGGGCAAAGGATAAATCATCTCTTTCTACCAGACTGTCATCATACTTCTCTCCAGACAAACTATGAAAAAATAAAAGTGGAACATTTAACACAACAGCTGCTAAAGAAAGCCTTTTTCTCTCAGGAACACCATCAACTACAGCACTGCACAAACGTTTGAGAAGCACCTGCTACATTTTAGGCCCTGTATCAGATGCTGGGGCTGCGAGACAAGTAAGGCACTTCAGCTCAGACTGGGACGGGCTGCAAAGACTCACCGTGCAGAGGGATACACGTTAGATTAGAGGGGTGGGCATGGGACATGAGAGTATAGAGAGGGAGATGAAAAATCCTGTCTAGTTGGATACAAGGAGAGAGGGTAAAGATTTGGGCAGACTTCATGCAAGAATTGGTATCTGCACTGTCTTGATGAGTCTAACTGAAGTGTGTAACACAGAGAATCAGCTTTGCTTCCTTGCAACTATTCGAATGAAATGGGTTAATTCTTAAAAATAAACTCTAAAGAGACCAAAATAAAAACACCTATAAAGTCTTAAAAAGTTTTTTGCCCCACAGTTGAGCTTTGCTCTTAGCCGTGAAAGGGTATGACTCCAGTAAGCAATGCTCTGCCACACTCAAGGACTTAAATGGACATTTACAAGAACAAAATGTTGGGAACAGTTGATTACGATCAGGTCTGTAAGGGGTGGAGGAGTTGGTCAGTAAAAAGAAAAAATAAGGTAAATAGTGGGGTGCAGGATACATTTAAAGGGAAGAATCTAGTGAGGAAAGAAGATTCCTAAAGCTGGAACGGTGCTCCTCTGGGAGTCCGACAGCGCTGGGTGTCCCTGTACTTCCATTTCCCTTTGGTAAAGTAGGGACAGTGGTAGTACTGAGAAGGAAGTAAAATAATGCATATGGAAGTGCCTAGCGGAGTGCCTGGAACACGGTGAATGTACAACAGATGATAGCGGCCCTCATCACACGGGCAAGGGAACCAGCGAAAAGAAGTTTTGATTCTTGGTCCTTCTATCTCTGTTCTCTAAGGGGATAAGATGTTCAGGCTCACCTGACCTGGGGTGGAGGGGTCCCCATTGCCCTAGCATAGTGACAGGTTGTAGGCATGCCTTGCTTCTCTGAGCAGATAGAGGGAAGTCACGTGTATATGCTCCTGGCATGTATGTTTCAGAATCAGCATGTATACCTTTGGGTATCTGCCCAGCTTACACCCACTGCTCTGAGAACGTTCCCACCTTCAGGACTGGTCCTGACGACCCTGCCTCTCTGGCTGTAGTTGATGAGAACATGGATCAACACCCGATCCAAGTCAGGACCTTCAGATTCTCTCCTGAGAAGCGGGTGCTTGGGGGTGGTACCCTATGTGGATGGGGTACTTCTATCCCATGGAGAGAATGAAGCAAATCCACAGCGGGAGGTACTCGAGGAAGGCAGAGGGGCCTCGGAAAACCATCTTCATCTTTACAGTCTGCGATGGAGTTCATCTGTGCCTCTCGTCCTGAGTTCTTTGGGAAATTTAGTCTTTAGCCTAACGTGACTGAGTAGGTTCTGTTACTTGCACCAATAGGGACTTTGACTGTAGCAGGAACCCCGCCCCTCACCCCAGCCCCCTGGCCCCAGCAGAGTAACAACTCTGTTAAAAATGGAGTGAACATGCTATAAAGGAGCCATCAGCTTGGCTGAGCTCCTGCACATTCCACCCCAGGGCTATTTCGAGGGCTCTCACCTTGTTGCTGGCTTCCTCACTGGAATGTCGTAAGCCTGGATAATGTTCACCAGCAGCTTTATGTCGCCATCAGACAGGTTTGGGGCTGTCACCTTCCTCCGACCTTTTCTCCTTGGCCTCAGTGGGCGTTTCTGTTCAGCCAGCTTGAAAAGGCTTAGCCCCAAAGTGCTAATGATTACAGGGCAGGATTAGGACTCAAAGGAAAAGAAAGGCCTGGAAAATCATGAGACAATTTCCTAAACTGTGACTTACAGTCCCTCACAGGCCCTGAAAAACTGTCTTTTTAAGGGGGATGGAAATCGTCAAGACATCCATTTGGGGAAGACAGTGCTGACATTTCTTTTGGCTACTATTGCTGGGAGGAAGCAAAGCGTGTTCTGGCGCTCCCTGCATCCCCTGCCTTGCTCTCCCCAGTCCCACACCTGCCCTTGCTCTCCTGCTCTCTGCCTTTGCTGGAGCTGGCCCTGCACATGGACCGCCCCCTCCACTCTCCTCCTCAACTGCCCACTCTTCAGGGCCACATCTCCCTGCTGCAGAGGCCCAGCTCCCCCCAGCGCTCCTCAGCCGGCCCCAAGAATGGCAGCTGACGCTTCCAGCCTGGCCTGCTCGGCCACGTCCTGGGCAGTCCCGCTCTCTGGAGTTGGACAAGACTGGCATGCCTCCCAGCTCCGCTATGACCCTGAGCAAATCATCTCACCTCTTTAAGTCTCCATCTCATCCTCTGTAAAATGGGGAGAATGATGCCAAGCTGGGGGTAGTGTGGAGAGGATACAGTGAGGAGGTGTGTGCAAAGCACCGGACACTGGTCTAGAACTCCACATGCCCTAAAACGGTAACTGGAGAGATGCCGATGGATGCCAGCGATTCTGGTGGAGGAGGAGGAGGTGGGACAGGATAGGGGCAGGGGAGCAGGAGGATCATGTTGGGTACACACTTCTTGCAAGATGACAGCGACACAGCTGCTGAATCACAGCAGAAAGGGCCAAGGAGCCAATAATTAAATTCCGGCCCAGAGACTAAACAGAAACACAGATGTGCCTGCATCTGGAAGGCGACGTCATGACCAAGCCAACAGCACCGGGCAAAGCCAGAGCTGCGCAGAGGCCCGCAGGCTGCCGCGCTCACGCTTCCCTGCGCCCCGCGTGCGGGGGCTGCCCCTGCGCTGGCCTGCAGTCCTCTTCCTGAGGGCCACCTGCCAGCTGGCGGGATCGCGGCCCCCGGGGAGCTGCTCTCCGTCTGTTCCCCAGGGTGTCCTGCCCACAGAGCGCGTTTGTCAGCACCTTCTGACCTGGGCAGAGTGCTAGGTGCCTTCCATAGAGTGTTTCTAATCCTCGCGAGGATAATATTGACCCCATTTTTTGCATGAAGAAACTGGAGGCTCTGAGAGGTGACAGGACTTGCTGAAGGCTCAGCAGAGGAGGAGGAGAGGGGCTGGGTTCAAACTCCGATCACGGAAGCCACAGTCCAATTGCTGCTGCCTCTTTTTTTTTGTATTTAAGTACCATTGATACACAATCTTATGAACAACATTGAACAACATTGTGGTTTCAACATTCACCCATAATACTGAGTTCCCTCCCCCTCCGTTGCAGTCACTGTCCATCAGCGTAGTAAGATACTGTGGAGTCACTACTTGTTTTCTCCGTGCTGTACTGCCTTCCCTGTGACCCACCTACATTATGTGTACTAATCATAATACCTCTTAATCCCCTTCTCCCTCCCTCCCCACCCACCCTCCCCCGAACCACTCCCCTTTGGTAACTGCCAGTCCCTTCTCAGAGTCTGTGAGTCTGCTGCTGTTTTGTTCTTTCAGTTTTGCTTCGTTGTTATACTCCACAAATGAGTGGTCATTTGGTACTTGTCTTTCTCCACCTGGCGTATTTCACTGAGCCTAATACCTCTAGTTCCATCTATGTTGTCCTGCTTCTTTTTTTTTCTAGTACTTACATATATTTATTCATTAACTCATTTAAAATAAGAATAAACCCATTACACACGAACATAATGTAAAACTATGAAAAATAACTATCCTTTCCAAAACAAAGAGAGACATGTTTCATTGCAAATCTTTTTCTGTGTGTGGCTTACTGGCTGCATCTTATTTTTATTACTTTAAATTTATTTTTATTGAGATAGATTTGACATATCACATTGTATAGGGTTAAAGTGGACACCATGGTGGCTTGAAACATTTCCATATTGCAGTATGATTACCACCGTGGTATTAGCCAATCCCTCTACTACTTCACATAATTACTGTTTTATTTTTCTTTTTGTGGTGAGAATGAAGATCTAGTCTCTTAGTAACTTTGAAGTCTGTAATACAATATTGTTGACTCTATTTACTGTGCTGTCATTAGGTCTCCAGAACTTAATTACCTATTGGTTGCAAGTTTGTCTCCTTAGACATCCCAGTTCCCCTTGCCCTCCAGCTCCTGTAACCACCACTCTACTCTGTTTTTGAGTGTGGCTTTTTTGATTCCCTGGGTAAGTCAGATCACGCAGTATTTGTCTTTCTGGGACTTATCTCACTTAGCATAATACCACCAAGGTCCAGGTTGTTGCAAATTACAGTAGATCTCAGTTACTCTGCCAGGATGGCTACTTAACCTGGGGGCCCAGGGACCTTTGCCAGGTGGTCCTATATGGTGCATCCCTTCCCTTTGTCAATACTTCCTTTCTTCCCCAGAGGGGAATCATGCCCTAACACTTTGCTGCCCTCCTAGTGGTCAGCATGGGGACATCCTGGTGGCTGGTTTATATATATATGTAAATATACATATATATATATATATACACACACACACACATATATATATACATACATACATATTCTCTACATTAAATACAGAAATACTTTAAAGCCAAGAACAAACCAAAATTAAAAGAAGAAAGAACATACCCTGAGCCTTCAGAACTTAATGCAGAAAGTAAAGCAGAAAAAGAAAAAGAAAGAAAAGAAATGGGAAAACAGCATACAAAATCATCATGCATTCTAAAGGGTAATTTTCATGACTGAAAAAGAAATGCATTCACTGGACTCTAGGCCTTGGATAACAAGAAAGGGTTTGCATGAATTTATGTGGGCACAGCCTCCCCTCCATGTATGGATGAAGACAAAGCCAAAGACAGGGGCAGCCACGATGGCGCAATTTTTATCTCCTCCCCAAATTGATGGTGGAGCAGAAGTACGAATAGGAAACAACCTTTTTAGGAGACCAAGAGTTTAATCATAGAAAGGGTCCTGAGTTAACGGCCTGCATAAGACCACTGACATAGGAAGTTATCTTTCATCTTTTATGCATTCACCCCAAGGTGAGATGCCCTGAGGAGTTATTCTAAATGATAGGGAGAGAAGTAAGCAAATACAGCCAATTCCCAAGTGCTCTGTAAATATACATGTTCCCTGCAGCCCTTGCCCCTCACCACACACACAGCCTCTGCCTCCCAGCTGTGGTGCTGGAAACAGCTCTCCCTGCCACTCAGAACCTCAGTGGGCAAGTTCTCAGCCACCCCACTGCCTGTCGTGGGAGAGTCAGGCCGGCATTGGGATGATGAGAGCAGGTGGAGCCTGTGCCGAGGGAAGCGCTGCCGCACGCAGTGGGATCAGAATGGCTGGCAAAGCTCACGAGGTGGCGGGGGGACATGGGGTCTGCATATGGAGAGGATCTCGTGTGACTTGTTCTAACAGAAACCCCTCACCTAATGTAACCATTAGGCATTAGGTTTTACGAGTTTCCAGGATTATCAGGGGCCCAATGCATGTGCCACACAAAGATAAAAACATTATATGTACATGGAAGTTTTCATATAATACAATAAAAATCATTTTTATAAGAAGTAACAAAGGATGTGTTTGCCTTTACCTGATATTGGGCATTTCTTCTTCTACTATCAAATCCCCAAGAAGAAAATGGTGTTTTGCAATTAGGAAACGATTTATCACTGATTCTCTAACCTGAGGACAGAAATATGCTTTAAAATGTTCTTGTCATAGAAACGTCACAGTTCACTCCCCGCTCCCACTGAGCCTTCACACTGACGTCACCTCAGTGCAGCCCCTGTCCCCCTGTAGCCCACCTGCACTTTTCTCCCAGCCCCGATCTCCTCCCACTGTAAACCCTCCAGCTCCCCTCACTGGTGTTAGCTCCCTAAGACACGGTGTCTCCGTTTTGTTCACTGCTATATTCTTGAGACCTGGGCAAGTTGCTGCCAGATGAGATAGTGAGACTTTGCTGAATGAATGAGTTTACAATTACAAAAAGTAGGATGGGTCTTGAAGGACATACATTTTAGAACTAATCCTTAAGTTCTTCCCCTATTCAGACTGACTTACTCTGTAATTATTCCTTAAAAACAGGACCTCTTACATATCATAAATGGGTTTTTTATACGTAGGTCACAGGTTAGATGAACTGGATGGGAAAAATATTTTGTAGTCACCACAGCATTTCATGCAAGTTAAATTTATTAAAGGAAGGAAGCACAAAAGGATATTTTGATTTTCTAGTACATAAGGGCAGTTACTGTATGGTTTATAAAACTTCTTTGTATTACAAAGGAGATAGGATGCAAACATTCAAATATTAGAAAAATCCTGACTTAAAAATTGAGTCCCTTGTAATCAAACCCCAGTTAAGATAACAAGTGATAATAAACTGCAACTCATCCTAGTGTTTTCGCATGTTCAAAAGATGAAGATAGCTGTTAATCAATTGCATATCTGTAGTTATGAGAAAATAAGTCTAGAGAGATTACATGACTTTTAAGTACCACATAGATACTTAAAAGAATAGAGACCCATTTCTCCCCATATTAGGATGCTGGCTATTTTACCCCCTGTGAGGAGTGTTTACACTGATTTTTCTTACCTGCTGGAGGTACTTGGCCACTATGGCCCTATGGGTATCTATGTGGTCCTTGGTTTCAATTACATTTCTGTCTCGTATTCGTTTCTCATAGTCCTAAAATTAAAAAGGAATAAGTTTATGATTTTAAAGTACTAGTAGTCCCTCATACCCTTCCTGAGATTAGAGAATTTATCACATAGGGTTGAAGTTACAAATTATGGTTCTAAATGTTTCTTCCACCTTCCTCTTAACTTTTGGTTCAAAATTGATCTTTGATGCAGAATCCAGAATTCAGAATCAGTTGGCTGAATTGCTTTATAAGTGGAAGATAAATCCATAGAGTAATTACAGCTTAAAATGTTCATGCAGGAAGAAATAGAGGTCAAAGAGAGCTGCTACAGTTCAAGATGCTAAGTTCACCCAAGCAACTTAGCCAAAGCCTCTGCTTAATCCTGCCTTTTCTATTGTAAGTAAAGCCATTGTAAAGGTGGTAAGCAGCATCTGGCTGCAGCTGACTTGGGCCACCTGTCTTGCTGCTTTGTCTTTCTTTTCCTCTCAGTAAAATGCCCAGGGGACTGCAGTGTCCCCCTTCAGTCCTTCTCTGAAGTACCGAGCATGGCCCCTGACCCAGGCGAGGCAACTCGAGACCTGTTGCCGAGGTTTTCAAACTTGGGACAAGAGGACACATCTCCTCCTGTGGCTGAAACTACTGGACGTGAACTTGGATGATGTTGGAGACTGTGCAGCCACGTAGAGAATCTGTCCACAAAGAGAAATAAAGCCACAGTCCCACGGGAGGCCCGGGCAGGATGGAGAGGGGTTCTGGCAGCATGCAGGCCCTGGATCAGGTGTCTTGAGACACAGATTAATTCCTGGCACTCATGTCTTTAGACGTTTTACCCTATCGTGGGGTTTTTCATTATCCAGTAAACTCCTATGCCTGAGGCATTTCAAACTGGGTTTTTATCACTGACAATCCCAAATCCAAACTAATACAAAGAAGAACCAACCAACCAAAATAGCTTCTGCATAAAATCATACTGGTATTAATCTCTGGTAAATGGCTCTCCATTTACCTCACGGAACACAAACCTGCCTGGCTGGCTTTCACTGGCCTGTCTCATCTACACAGCGTGATTACCAGCAACTCCTCAAAGGCTCCCCACCCCCACGCCCGCCAGATCCCGCCTCTGCCCTGGCCCAGGACGCCCAGCCCTGTCCCCCACTTCCTTCCTGCCCCGCCCCCCCCGGGGCTCCCCAAGGCTGGCTCTCCCCCCAGTGTTCACACTGTGCTTTGTGCTTGGTAAATATTTACTGGATTAAAATGGACTTGCATTCCTGTCTAAAACAGGATAATTTACCATATTAGCACTGAAGCTATTTTTTCAACCCTACAATTCTACATTTTGTTGATTTATATGTCATTACGTTGAGACAAAAAGTTTATTTAAGCATCGAAATCAAGAAAAATAATGGAGAAGTTATATAAAGAAAGTGCTAAAGAGAAATCAGTATTGCTATTGAGAAAATAACAACAAAATACCTATGTAATCTTATAGCAAATAGTACAGAAGATATTTTATTATTTTATTAACTCCTTTATGGTAATTCCTTACCTGGAATACCTTTTCCATAATTTCTCGGTCATACACTGGAATTTGCTTGTAATTTCTGAATTCTGGCACCTCTTGGCTTCTAAGATGAAGAAGCCTGAATCGTTTGGATCTACTTAATTCCTCATCAGAAACAAAGTTGAACTCCTGTTGCAGTTGTTCCAGTCGAAAGAAATCAGGGATGTAGGATTCGCCACTGGTGGCCACCTTTGAAAACAAGAAGATGCAAAACTCGAGATGACAGGTAGGTTTCATCCACTGAAATCTGGCTCCAAGCTTTTGGAAATAGAAGCTTAACAGTCACAGACTGAGAGACTTGAAACCTCCAGCATTTCATTTAAAGACAAAATACAATACAAAAGTAATGAGGCAGATGCTGTTAATGTTCATCCAGTAGCTATAGAAAGTACCACAAATCATTTTTTCAAAAAAGAAATTTAAAAGTTCATTTTTGGCATATATGCTTCCCTAATAGATGTTATACAAAAATACAGACTGAAAGATGAGATATTTATATCAGTGCATTACTAGGTGCCTACTGGAAATAGGATTACTCATATATACAATGTATATAAAAATGAATAGATGCACTTTAAATATATTTAAGTATTACAAACACTAAATATAGATACTAAACTATTAAAAATGTTTTAATAAAGTACAGTTTAAAATATTTTTAAGTATAACTGTAAAAATATATCTAATCGCATATGTAGATAAAGGCTCCAGATCAGCCGAGCAGCTTCCCTGGGCCCCATGGGCATTCTCTCCTGTCTCTGAACAGCTCCTCGTAGCTTGGGTCATTGGGGAGAGAGCCGCAGATGGAACCAGGCGCCAACCTCCAATACCCTTGACGCTGGCACAGAAAGGACAGTTCAGGGAACTGCCTGGGGGCCGCACTCTGCTCAGGCATCTGCTGGACCCTCTGCTGGGTGCTTTGCCCGCTGTGACCTCCTCCTGAGCAGAGGGCAAACCAGGGGGTGCAGATTTGCTTGAGCTTCCCAGTGAGAACTGTGACTGGGAAGCAAAAATCCTGGTTTGTACAAAGAGACCAGTCAGGCAGGCCATTCCTGTGTTTTATCCTTCTATGGGAAGGCAAAAAGTTAAATAGAAAAAAATGAAGGTGATACATGTACCACTTTGCTACTGATTGAAAGATAGTAATTGAAATGTCATTTGAAAACTTCACATGGAATAGACGACATTTTAGGTAAGATGGCCTATTCTTTCTAATATTTCTCAAATCCACATTAGGAAGTATGTTGGAAGGAGAGTTTATAAAGACAAAAGTCAGAATAAGCCAAAGCTTGCTCTGGGATTTATCTTAGAGGGACTAGGAGAGAGATGGATACGCTCATCCTGGGCACGGTCACCTGCTGGTGAACTCACGCTGCGAACGTGAGCACCACAGTGCAGTGGCCACTTCCTGGGCCACCTTACTTTTTATGTTTTTGTGGGAATTATGGACACTGCAGTAAAAGTGATTGTTATTGGATACCAAGAAAAATCATTTACTGATAAATGTATGTGTCATTTTATTTATAGATTCACTGAAGAATTTTTAAATGACATGATTGATACAAGCAATCTATCTCATAAATACTTAAATGAAACCTAAATGATCTAGCAAATCACCAAACAAGGAAGCAAACAAGCAAAGCCACTGTTTCTGAGAACACCCCTCAGTCCTTCCGGGTGTGATGGAGAATGCAGGGGATCAGAAATCGGGTCGACTAGAATCCCAGGACTCACGAGCTGTGTGGCTTTGAGCAAGTAACTCGGAGTGTCGGAACTCAGTTTCCTCTCTATAGGGGGGTCAAATAAAGCCTTCTTTGGGGTTTTACAGAGGTTAGAGGCTGAGGGCTGGCAGGCTGCGGCTCAGTGCCTCACAACCACACTGTGAGGGCGTCACGGGGTTAGGTCATGAGGGCTCGTTTCGGTCACACAGGCAGGCAAGGGAAGGGCTGGAATTTAAACCTGCCATTCAGCCCAGCACTCATGTCGTTATTACACACTAATGCATGGTGTGAACAGCAAGTGTGTAAGGTGTGAGCAATTTCTAATACTGTCCTGCCAAGTCGAGAAAGGGCGTGCGCACAGTTCTCCTGCCACATTACCGAGATCAGCTGCATCAGCGGGGCGTTGCTGGGGTCATTCGGGTCGAGCTTGGACTCTGCTGCCCACTTGGCCAACTTTTTCATGTCTGTCAGTCCTGATGTACCAATAGATGAGATGGCATCTGCTCTCTTCAAAGCACTGAAAAAAAGTTGATTCCATGAGACAGACTTGACCCCAGAGCAGTTTGCCTTGGACCCACAAGATCCCAGGGACAGCACCGCTTCAGGAGGCTATTTGCCTCTATGAGAGAAAAGCTGGTCCTAAGGAAGGACTCTTGCCTTTTTTCTTTACTTGATGACTGCTGTTAGATAGATGTTATGAAGATAATAAAGAAGTATGACTGGTGGGAGAAAATATTTGCAAACCACACATCTAATAAGGTGTTAATATCCTAAATGAATAGGGAACACATATAGCTCAGTAGCAATAAAACAAATAACCTAATTAAAAATGGGCAAAGGAGCTGAATAGTTGACATACTGATGGCCTGTGGGTACATGAAAAGGTGCTCAACACCGCTAATCATCAGGGAAATGCAAGTGAAAACCGCAATGAGATGTCACCTCACACCTGTTAGAATGGCCACTATCCAAAAGAAAAGAAGTAACAGGTGCTGGTAAGATGCAGAGTGAAGGGAGCCCTCCTGCACTGTTTGTGGGAATGTAAATTGGTGCAGCCACTGTGGAAAACAATAGGGAGGGTCCTCAAGAAAGTAAAAGTAGAACTACCATATGATCCAAGAATTCTACTTCCTGAAAGTAGAATTCACTATCCTGAAAGGCATCTGTACCCCCATGTTTACTGCAACATTTTTTACAATAGCCAAGACATGGGAACAACCTAGCGTCCAGTCATGGATGTATGGATAAAGAAGATGTGGTACATTTTTGCACAATGCATTATTATTTGGACATACAAAGAAGGAAATCCTGCTGTTTGAAACATGGACAGACTTTGAGGGCATCATTTTAAACAAATGAGTCAGCAAAGCAATACAAATACTGTATGACCTAAAAAAAAGTCTAAAAAATACCAAACTCATAGAAACAGAGAGCAGACTGGTTGTTGCCAGAGCTGAGGTGGGGAGGGGAAATGCATGCAGGTGGTCCACAGGTACAAACTTCCAGTTATAGGATAAACTAGTTCTGGGGATCTAACGTAGAGCATGGTGACTTGAGTTAATGATACTGTATTGCATACTTCAAAGTTGCTAAAAGAGTAGATCTTAAGAGTTCTCATCACAAGGAAAAAAATTTGTGATTAGGTGTCGAGATGGATGTTAACTAAACTTGTTATGGTGATAATTTGGCAATATATACATTTTCCAATCATTTTGTTTTATAACTAAAACTTTTACAAAGTTAGATGTCAACCATATCTCAATACAACTGGGAAAAAAGCAGAATGAATGTAAGGAAAGTAAATGTCACCCATTCCTGCCATACTTCCCAGTACACAAAAGTGTCCCCAGTCCCTGGACCCAGGCTGGTGAAAAGGAGTCTCTGCATCTAGTGCAGGACACCCCAAAGCCTCACTTCTCAGACAACTGGGGACCACTTGCAGCTGAGGCTAAAATAAAAGAGAAAAAATAAACATGCAGCCAACTTAAGTACCAACCTTGAACATGACTAAATTCTGAGGAGGCCAGGGCTGCCATGGGGGAGCTGGGGCTTTAGTAACAGTGCTGCATTTATAGCACCATCCTGAGGAGTTGGAGCTTTGATCCCCAGGAAATTTCCCCAGTGCAAAACTCAATGAGATAAAAGCAAAATGCTTGTATTCAAAGGTATAGACAAGCCTCCCCTGGTGATGGCCACCAATCCCCTGACTGGGGAGGTAAAGGGCAGCAGTGCCTTGGCACTCACACCACCTGGACGTGGATGTTTGTCCCGGGATGGAGAGCACATAAAGGGAGTAAATAAGCTCCATTCTGTTTTTCCACATTTTGAAAATGACTGTCTGTGATGAAAAATGTTTTTTTGATGATCAGGGTAAGTCCTTTTATTTTACAGTGGAGGCAACTTAGGCCCAGGATCGAGTTAAGATACATCTTTTGGGGAAAGACAGAAGCAAGACTCCAACCCAGGGCACCTGGCTCCTGCAGGGCAGGCTGCCTGGTCAGGCATCAACCTTGAGGAGATAAGAGCCTGCCTAGGAGTAAACTGGCGAGGCCCAGAGACCCTTTCTTCTCTTCTGAGTAGAAACCTAGGGATCTAGCAATCAAGGACAGAGACTGAGAATAGGGATTTTCATATAACCAGAAGGTTCTACACCAATCATTATTCACAACAAACCTTTACTGAGGACCAAATAAAGCCAGCTTTATGCTACACACTTCTCCCATCTATAAAATGGGGAGTTACTGGGAATACTAAATAAGATAAAGTGCTTTTCACTGTACACTGATAAACATTCAATATTTGTTATGCTATTAATATTTTAATTTTCACCTTAAGAATAATAAAAATCCCTGAAAACATGTACATGAGAATAAAAGGAAAGAATGTGGTATCGCAAACCTTTTTTCCTACTGAACATCATTAATGTTAACACTGTCATTGCCCATCAGTTTATTCTCACCACACATTACCTCCTAAATCCAATGCTCTGCTGTGACAATGGAGGAATTAGAGGTATCCCATTTTCTCCAATGGCCCATGCCACACTGTTGGACACCTTCCCTGAGGTCATTAGAACCAGTTGATTACTACCGTCAGCTTCAAATGAGAAGGGCACTCCTAGGGAAACACCAGATTAAACAGGATGCTGTTTAGAAAAAGGGAGTGAACCCAGTCCTGGTAAGAAAGCAGACAAAAGGGGGTGGGGGAAGGGACATGTAATTCAAATCAACACCACTGAGCTTCTCCAGGTAATGATGCTCACAGTTGGTCACTGGCTCTATATATGACAGCAGAGTGTATATATTTTTAATGAATGAGGCACTTCAGAGTGGGATCATCTGTGTGTACATTATGGTTCTGTCACTTAACAGCTGTGTGACCATGAATAAATTACTTAACTTCCCTGAACCTTAGTTTATGTATAAAACAGGGATAATGATAACACTGCCTTCAAAAGTTTACTGTAAAGACATCATTTATGTACTCATTCAGCAGATACTTATTGGAACTCCTACTGCATGCCAGGCATTATTCTAGGTGATGGAGGTGACAGTAAAGAAGCAAACTGGTAGGAATGCCTCTTCTCATAGAGTTTATATGTGAGTAGGCATGGTGGGCCTTCAAGATAAGTAAGAGAAATGTGTAGTATTTAGGATAATTGTGAAGGAGAAGCATAAATTAGGGAAGATATACAGAAAATGTGTTTTGGGAAGGTAGGAGAGGGTTGCACTTTTGGATGGGTGGCCGGGGGAGGCTCCATGAGAGGGGACCTTTGAATAAAGGCCTGAAGAAAGTGAGGAGATAAGACATGTAGGTATCTTGGGAAGGAGCATTCTTGGGAGGAGGAACAAGTAGTGCAAGTGTTCTGAAGTGGAAGTGTGCCTAGACTGAGGAAGAGTGAGCTAAGTGAGGTTTACTTGCAAAACACACAGTGCTTGGCAAACAGGGGCCACTCAACAAATGTTAGCTATTGCTAAGCTACTGTGGTGACAGTAAAGCCTCACTGATTTGGCCTCCACCAATTGGAAATTAATCAGTATGTTCAATCAACTAAAGGAAGAAAAGATTTTTCAAGCATGAAATATAGCAACTTTACACTCTGGAGTTTCAGTTAATATTTCTAATGCAAAACAATATCACTATTATTCTGTGATAGCATTTTTGTGTTTTTCAAAAGTCTTTCCTTCATATTGAATATCCCATCTTGATCCTCAAAATAACCCTATAAGACACTAAAGGGGGTATATTAGATTCATTTCATCAATAAAAAAATGATACTCAAAGAGATTGCATAATTAATAGGGTCACAGAGCTTGTCAGTGTCAGAGCTGGAACTAAACTCTAGGTTCAAACTTTTAGACTGGTGATTGGGCTTAAGATTCAAAGAATCCTTGCACATAAATTTCCAGATATGAGCTCCCAATAAAAATTGTGATAAATTTCCAGATATGAGCTCAATAAAAACAGACACATGAGGGAACAAGCCACTATGAGCAAGAGGAAACAGAATCAAACCAATAAGCAGATATGTATTGGAATGATCAGATACAAATATTTTTAATGTTTTAAAAAAAATGAGTAATGAATGGATAAAAGAAATGATTGAGAATTTGAAGAAAGGACAAAAAGTCATCAGAATTGACCAGACTGAATGGAAAATAACTAAATAGAATTTGTAGAGGTTAAGAATAAAATAACTGAAATGAGAGACTCAATGATGAGTTTCAATGATAAGACACAGTCAAAGAGAGAATAAATGACTGGGAAGACAGATTTAAAGAAATATACAGAATGTATCAGTGAAACAGGAAGATATCAAATATATTATAGAGAGGGTAAGAAACGTGGACAGAGAAAGTCCATCATATATCTAAAGAGACTTGTCAAAGGAGACAAGAGAGAGAATATTAATTAAAATTCACCCAATTAATTTTTTTCCAAACTTTTCAGCCTCATATATAACACTGTGATGTACGTATTTTTATGTACAAAGCTTTGTCTTCCTCTCAAATTATTTTCTTAGGAAAGGTTCCTAGAAGAAGAATTATGGCCTCCAAGGCATTTTAAAGGTCCTTAATTCGCACTGTCAAACTACTGTATGTTTGTATAGTTATATGAATTTACTGGCTACCAACAGTATGTAAATAATGACCTTGCAAAAAGCTGTATATCCCTGTTTTAAGTTGAAATTCTGATAGCAATTTTACAGTTATCTGGTTGTTTGACAAGGGAAAAAAAAGATGTTCAACTATGACAGTGAAACTGTGAGCCATTGAGGGTAATTCGTCTTCCCTACCACTTCCAACTCCTTCATGATCCAATGTCACATGCTGGTTACTGCTAAACTCCACTTCTTCAATAGGAGCTCTTCCAGTGACAACGCTGGTTTCGGGAATAGGCAGAAACACTTCTGCCAGCAAGGTGGTACCACTGTGTCCCACTGTTTCATATACCTGAAGTCAAAGAAGAGAAACGAATAAAAGCATCAGTAGAATGTGCTCAATCTCAATTAGTCCATTTGTCTGTGCTTATCACTGTGCAAGGCCAGAGCACCCACCTCAGAATGCAAAGCTGAGTTGTATTACTATGGTCCCCATGAGGCCAGATTACATGCTATTTGTAGCCAACTTGTTGACACCTGTCCTCTTGCCTAGTCTGATCTCCTGGGGTGGAGAGGTTAACCAAGGTGAACAAACTAATACACAGGTAACCTGGAGAATGGACTTCCTCCTTTTCCTGACTGATGTTATTTCAGAGACAAATGGCATCAGGTAGAAAGGGTGAGATAATGTGGACATGCTGCTCTTAGATGACTTATTATCTAGACAAACCTCAAAGTCAACAGGAGAAGCACCAAATTTATTACTGTAGAGTATCCGATTAAAATCTACTATTTGATTAATCTCTCAGATTCTCCCTTTTAAGACCTCATTTTAGTTGTTAGCTGCTGAAACCCTACCAGCTCTCCTCAGACCTCCTCCGAGATGGAGCCAATTGGACTATCTGCAGCTCTGATACTAATTATTGTTGTATATCTTATCACAATGTCATCACTATGAGATGAACAACCCATCGTCAGGGCAACCACAGATTATGAATATAAAATGCAGCCTTCATAGGACCCTCTGCTCCATTTGATCAAATTTCCCTTGTATTCTTGGATACTTTTACTTTTGTGATAAGAAGATGATAAAATATTCCACAGCTTTGCTGACTTCTTTCCTGTGTTTTATTCTTTCTCTCCAGGAGGTTTCTGCCTGGTACACATTTGTCTAAGAGGCTGATTTTACTCCTTTTATTTCTACTGATTGAATCTTCATTTCGCCTCTTATGCAATTTAGTCCTCCTGTGATTAATACTTTCCACTTACCACTCAAATGCACAAAGATGACACTATACATTCTCTCCACCCACCTTCCCTTATAGGGTGTATGATATGAATTCTTTGCCAAGGATGGGGGTGAGGATGAATTTGTGCTGGTCTGCCACCAGAGCCTCATCTCCCTAGTATCTACCAGCTCACATCTGCAGGATGGCTGACTGAGCTTAGAGGGGCTACCAGGGCAAAGATAAAGGCAAGCATTGCATAGAAACCAAACTCAGGACCCCAGACTTAATAGCATGTGAGTTAATTCTAACAGACCGGTGCTCCAAGAGACCTGTACTGTTCAGGGCTTATATGTGCCGAGTGGCCAAATCTGCCTAATTCAGGGGCTCAGTGAGAAGCCTGTGAATGGCACACGTAACCCATGCTCTCCAAATGCATCTTTATCAGTAAAAAGATTATATTTTGATTTATATTAAAAAACATTTTTTGGAAAATTTCAAACATGTAATTCTAGAAGAATGATATACCCTGAACCCATAACCTAACTTCAACTATCATTATGTCCTATCTGGTTTCATCTATGCTCTCAACCATTTCCCGTTCCACCAATATTTGGAAGCCAGACATCATTTCACTTGTAAATATTTCAGTATGTATCTCTGAAAGAGAAGGATATTAAAAAGTATAATTATGATACTATCATTATGGTAATTCCTTAATAATGTCAAGTATCAGTAAGTTTCAAATTTCCTCCAGAGTTGCAAAAAATCACTATGGTATACTTGGTTTGAATAAGGATCAAATGTATTCCATACATTACAATTGACCAGTGAGTCTCTCAAGCCTTTATTAATTTATGGGTGACCCAGCCTCTCTTTTTATACATCTGTTACTTCTCAACACCTTTTCCCCACATTTTTATCATTTCAGAACTCTAGTGGAAAAAGGAGTGCCATCTATTGCTTGTCCCAACCTCTCATAAGAGCCTGCTGTTTTGGATCTTACAGAGCTTAAAGAACAAAGGGCAAATTGTCTTTACTTGCACAGGAAGCCTTGGTTTGACCTCTTAAGTTATAGATCCATTATCTTGAAGTTTCAGCTTGAGAAAATGGTGTGTTTTCTTTCCTTTTTTAAGCTTTATTTTTTTTGCCAAAATTGTAATTCATTGAGACAACCCTTTGTGTGAATCCCACTAGGGGCATTCACCTGTGTTATCCTGTTTAATCTTTACCACATTCTTATGAAGGATGGTTTGTAGTGAAGATTAAGTAAGAAACCAGACCCAGCAATTCTAGGTGACAGATTGGAGGCTTAATTTGAAGACGAGCATCCACAACCGCCTCACTTCAAAACTCATACACTTTCTGCTATGTTTTCCTCACAGGCCAGAGAAAATCAGAAAGGTGATTAAACAATTCAGAGTCCTTTTAAAGTTATTACCATGAACCATAAAATATAATTAGGTTAGACAAATCAGGGAGAACTTGTGATTGAAAGAGAATTTAAAATCTGAACAAAAGAGCAATGACACATGGAAGTACTATAAAAACAATGGCTCTAATCAGAGCAGACTCTAATCAAATTAAGCATATGCAATCATAACCGAAAGACCCTGGAGCTCTTCTGGTCTCAGACTTTGTGGTTGCCCAGAACTCTGAAGAGGGTTGCTGTCTCAGCAAAGGTGCAATGTTCACTTCAGTGCAGGTGTTTTAGCTCACTGTAAGGTGCCCCTGTACTGGGCACCACATGAGCATACAGTAAGCTGCCCCTTGCCTATTGATACCCACTAATGTAACACCGCCATGCCCTGTGGTTTCCCTATAGAAACAATTATCCACTCTATTGAGGTTCTTGTTTATGGGTTGTTTGTCTCACTAGATGTTGAAATTCCTCAGGGAAAGGTTATTGTTTGATTTCCCTTTGAATGCCCAGGGCTGCCAACAGGAAATTCATATACTTAGAAGACATCATGTTAACTCTTACTAGAAGTAGGACATTAGAGGATGAATTTGTGGAATGGAATTGTTCTCTTCTCTGAACAGCTGGTAGACTTGGGTGTAGTGTGGCTCTCAAGATTTTCTCATATCTCACTTTACTCTCCATTTGACTGTCACTCCTCCTACAGCCTGCAGAGGGCAATGTGATGAACTGGATAGAGCAGCCTTGTGTTCAAACAGATCTGGGCCTGAACTCTGATATTGACACTTAACTGTTGTGTGACTTTGGGCTTGACATTTCCACCACTTTGTGCTCTCATTGTAGGCTGAGGATGTTACTTCAGCAGGGAAGCAGTGATGAAGCTTAGCTGAGATGGATGAAAAGTCTATTTTTTTCTGTATGAGCTCAATAAATATTTCTTTTCCTCTAGGCATATAATTGACAATAAGCATATGCATTTTTATAGCACTTTATGGTTTACAAAAGTCTTTCATAAACATGATTGCATTTCTCAAATGCCTTATTAAATCTTGCTAATCAACGGACTTTAATAAACTTTACACAATAAGAATTTCTTTTATTTAAATTAAACTTGAATGACACAGGATGCCTACTCTCACCACTTTTATTCAACATAGTACTTGAGGTCCTGGCCATGACAATCAGACAAAAGAAAGAGATAAAAGGCATCCAAACTGATAAGGAAGAAGTTAAACTGTCACTATTTGCAGATGACATGATATCATAACCATAAAACTTTAAAGACTCCACCAAAAAAACTATTAGAACTAATAACTGAATACAGCAAAGTTGCAGGATACAAGTTAATCCACATAAATCTGTTGGATTCCTCTGTACTAACAAAAAACTAGCAGAAAGAGAAATCAAGAAAACAATTCCATTTACAACTGCAACAAAAAGAATAAAATACCTAGGAATAAACTAACCAAGGAAGTGAAAGACCTTTACTCTGAAAGACTGTCTGTAAGACAGTCATGAGAGAAATTAAAGAAGACACCAATAAATGGAAGTTTATCCCATGCTCAGAGATAGGAAGAATTAATATTGTCAAAATGGCCATCTTGCCCAAAGCAATTTACAGATTCAATGCAATTCCTATCAAAATACCAACAGCATTTTTCAATGAACTAGAATGGGTCTAAAATTCATATGGAACCACAAAAGACCCTGAATAGCCAAAGCAATCCTGAGAAAGAAGAATAAAGTTGGGGAGATTACACAACCTGACTTCAAGCTATACTACAAAGCTACAGTAATCAAAACAGTATGGCACTGGCACAAGAACAGACCCATAGATCAATGGAACAGAATAGACAGCCCAGATAGAAACCCACACATATATATGGTCAATTAATATACAATAATGGAGCCATGAATATACAATGGGGAAAGGACAGTCTCTTCAAAAACTGGTGTTGGGAAAACTGGACAGCTAAACATGTGAGAGAATGAAACTGGATTACTGCCTAACTCCATACACAAAAGTAAACTTGAAATGGATCAAAGACCTGAATATAAGACAAGAAACCATAAAACTCTAAGAAGAAAACAAAGATAAAATCTCTTGAACATAAGCAGGAGCAATTTTTTCCTGGACACATCTCCTTGGGCAAAGGAAACAAAATAAAAAATGAGCAAGTGGGATTACATCAAACTGAAAAAGCTTCTCTATAGCAACAGACACTATCAGCAGAACAAAAAGGCATCCTAAAGTATGGGAGAATATATTTGCAAATGACTCATCTGATAAGGAGTTAACATCTAAAATATATAAAGAACTCATATGCCTCAATAGCCAAAAAACAAATAACCCAATTAAAAAATGCATGGAGGACCTGACAGAAATTTCACCAAAGAAGAAATACAAATGGCCAAGAAGCACATGAAAAGATGCTCTACATAGCTATTCATCAGGGAAATGCAAATCAAAACCACAATGGGATATCACCACTAGTTAGAATGGCCAACATCCAAAAAACAAGAAAGAGCAAATGCTGGCGAGGATGCAGAGAAAGTGGAACCCTCCTACACTGTTGGTAGAAATATAGATTGGTATAACTGCTATGTAAAGCTGTATTCAGGTTCCTCAAAAAACTACAAATAGAAATACTATTTGATCCAGGAATTTACCCAAAGAAAACAAAATCCCTGATTTGAAAAGATATA